AATATATCAAGCTTAAATAGTGCCCATATTTTCTCTATTCGATTAACAATCAAAGGAATAAATTCTTTATTCGTTCTTTGCACCAAACTGTCATTACTAATTACATATTGTAAATTAGATGACTTCACCATTGACTACTATTTTAAAGTAGACATCTTTGACTTTTTGAAAAGGCATAACACTAACCAATTGGTTAAGTGTAGCTCGAGTTATGCAACTCGCAAGTTGGCTGCTCAACCTAGACTTCCAAAAATGAAACATCAACTTCAAAATGAAACTAAATTTAATCTACATGTCCATTGGTTATAATATTTTATATGGTTGTAGGCCTATGCTTTATCTTCATATAGGTTCAGATTGCGCTCAATTTGGAGTTTTATAGCTCCAGACATGGCCATTTTTCTAATGCATGTTCATGCTGATTTCGGGTAGCGCTCTCTTCGAACCCATTTTCTTCATTTTTAGCACACTTTAGCGCGCAACAACAGAGGAAAATTATATTTTTGGTTATTTGACGTTCTTCAGCATGCATTAGAGCGCTTTAGCGCTCAACAACAGAGGTTATTTTATGTTTCCAGACCCCATAACGCATTTTAGCGAGTCAGGGGTGCTTTAGCGAGCTCCAAGACAAGGAAGGATTAATTTGAGGCTTTGAACCTTCATTTCTTGTACTAAAACACCGTAAGGGTACCTAATTGACCAATATCCATTTATCCACCACTTTTAGCACTCAAACCATACCATTTTTCCTTGAATTCATACATCAAACATCAAGTTAAAAATTTGCAACATTCAATTTACATGACTTCTCATCATTATCATTCTTCTCCTCATTGGCAATCACATATATATATATCTATCCCTCAATCTTTAACATGCATCAAGAAACCATTGAGTGTAAATGATTATATTACATTACTTCCTTACATTGTGCCCCATCAAAAAATATTGCAAAGACCTTTGCAAGATGAAAGATAACATGACCCACTGTTCACAAAATACATTAATCCATTTAATCAATACATGATTCCACCCTAATAACTTCCCCACTTTGACATAAATGCATACATGATCAAATATGATATTCTCCAAGATACAATATACAAAATACAACTCAGTAGTGATCCTAGAATGCTATCATGTCAAAAGGTGCCCAAAAATCAAAATACAATTATAATTCATCCTACTCAGGCCTCTTGCCTCGGGAACCATTATAACAATAATGGGTGTACTTGAAAAATAATCACCACACAGGGTGAGATACAATCTTAGTAAACTCAGGGCCTTTGGAGACTCCTCCAACCCTGAGCTCAATTCTATGACATACATGCATAAAGATGGCATCATATAACAACTCATAATCAACAGTATACATCTATGCCAAGTGTATCAACACCAACCAAGCCAGTCCTCTGGTCCATCATCCATCCCTAGAATGTTGATATAAATCTCAATAAAGCCATCCTTCTGGTCCACAGCTACCCTCAGAATGCTCAACAGTTCAACTGGCCAGAGAATTCATCTAATTGTGCAATCGACATAATATATTCATACACATAATCTCAAGTATTAGCACCCAATCTTCAAACTACTGCATATCCATGTTATACAAACCATCATTCCTCATGGAGTGTGGTGGAACATCAAGGGGAAAATCCCCTGAAGGTCAAATAGTTTACTTTGTCAAAGCTTGTTCTCCAACTCTTTTAGCCCAATCTCTCATTATCAACCAAGCCACAAAATCCAACCTATTTACAAGATGGATAATCATCAACAACATAATTTACTCATAAACCATCGAGTTCATTCATCTAATAACACAATACCATGGTTTTAGGAACTTACCACACTTCTTAAAATCTCAAGAATGACAACCTTAGTCCAATGGTTATTCAGTTTCATTTTTCATACAACTTTTAACACACTTCTATAATAAACCACAAGATTAAACATCAATTCTAACATATCCATATGAAGATTTCGAATCCCCCATATTATGCGCAAACCCTAGATACCCATTTCTTAAAACCTATAGAAAACCCTAGAAATGACCATGGAAGTTTACTTCTAAGCTCCAACCACTTAAAAAGAGAAGTCTCTAAGCTTTCAAGAGACTCAAAGTTTCATTTCTCAACCACCCATAAGGGGCCACGAAAATGGGTATGATATTTGGTTGGGTTCCTTTCTCCCTAATCTTAGTTCCTTGGTGGCTTGATGATGGTGAGTGGAAGAGATGAGCAAAGAGAGAAAGAATCAAGTGGGTGTGGGTTTCAAAGCTTCAAACTTCAAGAAGTCAAAAACCAACAATGGAGGGGGAAAGGAGAGTGTTCAGCTGATGGAGAGGAAATAGTGATGAGAAAGAGTGGGCAACTTGTCTAATTGAAATTTTTTAAGGGAAAATGATTGTTTTACCTTTAGCCCATTTTCTTTACTTCCACAATGCCACTTACTCATCTAATCCCTCAATATGACATTAAGTATGATTATTAGGCTATTGGGCCATATGGAGTGTAACACAGATTAATTTTAGGCCCGAACAATTTTTGCTAAATTATGATTTTGCCCATATTTAATACTTAATTCTAAGAATTAGTATTTTTTATTTAATTAACCCCTCCTATTGCACATCAACTTTTAATTAATGTCATTTAATTATTAGAGTTATTACAAGAGAAGACCTCAATAGTTGAGAAAGACGATAAGATGAACTCCTCAGCAGGAAATAAGAAGTCACCCCACGGATGTCGGCAAGAGAGGCTGAATAACAAGATCTACTTGCTTGTCCTTAGTAAAGCTCTTAATGCCACCAACCCTGCACTTCAGAGGAGGCGTTAGAGCGAGCAAAGAAGAAGCATCCCTCTTCTAGCTAGACACTGCACCGCCCTCCTGTATGGCGGCCTCCACATTCTTGGCCTTGTTGTCACCTAAGATCTTGGCGAGATACTCTTTGCAACTATTTGTCCCATAGACTCTACCCAAGACAAACAACTCATTAGTAAAAGCAAACCCATACAACAGTTTGGCCACTTATGGCACCAGAGCAATACCAATGATCTCACCAAGTTCATATGCAGGCGCTGACAAGATCTTCGTGTCCATCTTGTCATATTTTTGGACATGCTTTAAAAAGACAACTTTTGTCTTCTTCTCCCTCTCTGACAAATGGGAGTTAGAAGTTCTATACCAGTTGGACCTCTGGTGGTAGCGGGACCCTCTCCTGTATAAGTCAAAGAAAGGAACCCCGTCTCTACTCATAAATAAGGGAGGGGGGATGCGTAGCCTTCTTTCCCTTGGGCAACACCAATATCTTGAAATACTTCCTCTTAAAACCCTTATAAGAGTTAGAATAAGAATTGAAGAGGGTATGCTCAGAAACTCCCTTGAAGGTGTCAGACCTGCACTTGTGCATCACCACACTAAACAAATTTAAAAGTACGCGCTTCATGTTCATCATCCCAAATGGCGGCATACCAACAAAAGCTTAGGACAATATGGTCAAAGGTAACCCAATCTTGTAATCGACCTCTGAATACCAAGTCTAGCGAGCATGGAACACAGCCCCTCCTAGGAGTCTCAAACAAAAAGGCCTTACACTTCAGTTTGGCAGCCCATATGCTTAGATTTTTGGATTGGGGGCAATTGTTATGGACCCACATCATGAGCCTCAGGATTGGCTAAGTGAGCTGGCCCTAGTTCACTCTCAGGTATGAAACCCTCTATAAAAAAAGATTTCATCTCACTTTGAAACCCTAGCTTTCTTATTGTCATTGTATACACACACTGTTACTTTTGGCTCCCAATCTCCTCATAGTGCACAGTGATATGTCATCACCTAATGATTTCCTCCATAAACTCCGCCAATTCTCATATCTTATAGCAACCTTTGATCCTTGCGGATCAAATACTATAATTTTAAAAATAACTAATTTCTCAATAATTTTAAAAATAACACATTAAAAGAAATTCTTTGTTTTTTTGTAAATGTACATTAAAAGAAATTCTAACCATACATGAAAGTTTGTTTTTATTTGTTATTTATTACAAGGTAGGATATTCTTATTACCAATTTTTTATATTACCACTCTAATCATCATTGGATTAGAGAAAAAGTTTGAAAAGAGAAAAAATAATAATAATTTTTGAATCCAATAATAATTAAAGTAATAGTAGAATCATAATAGAAAAAAATTGATAATAAGAATTTCTTACCTCAGTCGATATTTTCTAAATTTATGAAATCTGGTTGCCGTTCTTTGGTGGCGGTGTATAAGCCCACTATACTTTGAGGGACCACTATCTGGTGGCGTTGGAAATTGTTTTTCAACTTTTCCTTCCTTTGGCTCACTTCTAAACCAATGCATTGACGGATGAACTCGACCAACAACTTCATAACTTCATATGATGTTTGCTATCACGCTTCAATTTTTTTTTTTTTTAACGTCATATGATGTTTGTTATCACACTTGAATCCTTCTCTTTTTTAAATTTGTTTTCCACCAATTTATCAAATCCATCAATCCCTTTCCTTAATCAAATCACCAACGGGCCATATAAATCATTTGAATGTATCATTTGTTGGACTACGTCTACCAATTACCATACACTTCAGCTACACGCGATAAACGCCCTTCAAAGTATAGTCTAAATATCCCAAATTATCTCCTTATTTTTAAGTCCCATTATATAAGAAACCTGTTTTGCTACGCCCCGCGCCGTTAAAAAAAGAAAATATTAAATACCAAAATTTACCAAAAAGAAAAACAACAAAAATTTAAAAACAGAAAACGTTTATGTGACAAGAGTAATCCAATGAGGTTGAGCCACGTAAGACAAAGAGCCCACGTGGGGAGAGTAGATTCGTTATTCCGTATTCGAGGGAGTATAGAAAAGTCAAAAATATCAAAGAAACGATCGCTGCCGTGTCATGCGCTTATGTTTTCCTCGTTGTATTTCTACTCTCTCTCACACACACACACACGCTACATTCCTACAAACCCCCCTCTTCTGAACATTTCCGAAACCCACATATTTCAAAACTTTTTCAGAGGTACGATGGCTGGTAGGGTTTCGATTTGCTTTCTCTTCGTGTTCTCGCTCTCTCTTCTTGTGTTTCAGATCTCCGCAGATGAATCGGCGGATGCCAAGGAATTCGTCCTCACCTTGGATCACTCCAACTTCTCCGACACTGTCAGCAAGCACAATTTCATCGTCGTCGAGTTCTACGCACCTTGGTATGCTTCGATTCTTCCTTTTGTTTCTGTTCTTTTTTTGTTTTGTTTGATATTTAGTTGTACTGATCTGTCTCATTTGTTGCTACTGCGATGTAGATCTTACTTTTGCTAATGTCTTGTTAGCATTTCGTATTTTTAGATTTATATCAATATTTTACACTTATTTTGGTATAATTTTAATTTTTTTTTTATATTGTGTATTCATTTCAACGATTAGTGAAATCGTTTTCTAGATTTAACATTTTAAAAATGGTCAAAATTTTGGTTTTAGCTGGGAAATTTGCTGCATGCGCCTGATTAGTATGGATGAATTGTTATTGATATTAGTGCATTGCAGTTTTCATATAATTTTTATTTTGGTTTTTATCTTTTTAGGTGTGGTCACTGTAAGAAGCTTGCTCCGGAGGTAATTTGTTTCACATTTTATTTTGGGGTTTCGTTTAAGTTCACCTGGTAAGATTATGCAAATGCTGATTTTCCATCTGTTTTTTTTCTGCAGTATGAAAAAGCTGCTTCTATCTTGAGTAGTCATGATACTCCACTTGTTTTGGCTAAAGTTGATGCGAATGAAGAGAAGAACAGAGACCTTGCATCAGAATATGATGTTAGGGGATTCCCAACAATTAAGATTCTGAGAAATGGGGGAAAGAATGTTCAAGAATACAAAGGTCCCCGTGAAGCTGATGGTATTGTTGACTATTTGAAGAAACAAAGTGGTCCTGCATCAACTGAAATTAAATCTGTTGACGATGCTAGTGCTTTTATTGATGAAAATAAAGTTGTTATTGTAAGTGACGAACCATTTTACTTTTGCTATGTTTGAATACAGATTGGCATGTAAGCTTATTTTTCTGATGTTTTCAGATTGGAGTTTTTCCGAAATTTGCTGGGGAGGAGTATGATAACTTTACTGCATTAGCAGAGAAGCTGCGTTCTGACTATGACTTCGGCCACACTTTGGATGCCAAACACCTTCCAAGGGGAGAATCATCAGTGACTGGGCCCATAGTTAGGTTACTCAAGCCATTTGACGAGCTTTTTGTTGACTCCCAGGTAGTGTTGAGTTCTGCAGATTGATTGTTCAATCTTGCATATTTTAGTGTTTTTTTCTTATTAGGTTGTGTATATGTTTCATGCTTGTAGGATTTCCATGGGGAAGCTCTAGAGAAATTTGTTGAAGAATCTAGTGTCCCCGTTGTGACTGTCTTCAACAATGAACCAAGCAATCACCCTTTTGTTTCCAAATTCTTTAATAGTCCCAATGCAAAGGTAAAATATGCTATCTATGTCAATTTTGTCACTTCGTTACTAAACTGGAGGATTCATCTTTATCACACTGTTGTAGCTCTATTTTTATTTTTGTAACCGAGTCCCACCTTCTGTTAGTGTCCTTCCCATGGGTTTTACTATTCTGAACTTCATATCATTTTCCAAAATTTGCTTGCTTTTATGAGATTTCCTGTTTCTAAACATTATTATTTCCTTTGCTTTGGTTTTCTCCCCATTTTATCCTGTGTCCCAGAAACCTAAATTAAGGTTTTGAAATTTGTAGGCAATGTTGTTCATCAACTTCACTGCCGAAGGTGCTGAATCTTTCAAATCAAAATACCGTGAAGCTGCTGAGCAATATAGACAACAGGGCGTAAGCTTTCTGGTGGGAGATGTTGAGTCTAGTCAAGGTGCCTTCCAGGTTTGTATCAAAATATTTAACATTCTGTTATTACTCTTTGCTTAATATCAATATTTGACATTATGAATGGATTGTCTTGGCAGTATTTTGGACTAAAGGAAGATCAAGTACCTCTAATTATCATACAACATAATGATGGGAAGAAATTTTTTAAACCCAATTTGGAACCTGATCACCTTCCAACTTGGTTGAAGGCATACAAGGTTATACTCATTTCTCTTTGTAGCTTATAGCCTTTACCTGCTTTAATTTGGTTTCTTTGTTCCTAGTATTTAGGATATATTGGTCATGTAAGCTCATTAATTTTAAAATATTTATTATAGCTGTTATTTTGTCTTGAAGATTGTAATTTTTATCACCTTGTTTTTTTGAAATTTTCAGGAGGGAAATGTTGCACCATATGTGAAGTCTGAACCTATTCCTGAAGCTAACAATGAAGCTGTTAAAGTGGTAGTTGGGGACAGTCTTCAGGATATAGTTTTCAACTCAGGGAAGAATGGTAATTTTTTTTTTTAATCTAGTTTCATTCATTGAATTATTAGACAGATTTTGGCATTCATTGTGCTCGAATTAAATATCATGTTTTGAAAGTGTTTTTGTTCCTTGCATGTGAAAGAGCATTACAGTCCAATTGAGATGATTAGATAATGAATATCAACCATTACATATAGCTGATAGATGTGATTTCATCACATTTCTAGGACTAAGCAATTTTCCCTTTCTGTGTATTGTTAATGCTGTGAATCCATTGCTATTATCATTGGTTGCAAAGTATAAAGGAAAAGACTTTTTAATCTTTTTAATCAAAACTAAATTTAAAATAACATTAAAGGAAGATCTCTGGTTTATATAATTAAAAGAAAGTTCAACAAAAAATTATTTTGTTATTCCTTTAAAAACTAAAGATTTTAGTAAAATAGAGTGTGTCAACAAAGTAGCCAATGTTGTTTCTTGATTTTTTTTAGCTTGTGATCATGAGTTCTCTTGACTGAAAGTAGCTGGTTGATTGTGGCAAACCTTATTTATTGTTTCCGTAATGTGTTTTGTGTATCTTCTTGGCTTATATTATCTCTAGGTCTTAGCGTAGTCATCAGTTAAACTGACATAATTTATATGTTATATGTTTGCGTACAAAATTAAATTTTGCCCCTACTTTCATTGCTATTTTAATTAAACATGTCCTTCCGATGTTGTTATCTATCTGTTATGTATAGAATTAATTTTACCTGCCAACTCACATGTCCTTCTTATTCCATTATGAATCTGTGATTATGTATAGCAGCAAATATACACAATAATTTTAATCTCTCATATACATCACTAGTGTTAATTAGTAGTTTTCCTTTATCATACACCAACACCTTGCAGTTTTGCTGGAGTTTTATGCTCCTTGGTGTGGTCATTGCAAACAGTTGGCTCCAATCTTGGAAGAAGTTGCTATCTCATATCAAAGTGATGCTGATGTCATCATTGCAAAACTGGTAAGAAACGTGTCTAGTTTTTTTCTTTGATAATTATGCTGGTATATTGTCTCAATCGATGATGGAAGTAACTTTGACAACTATACCGAAAGCCATGTGGTACAAAAATAATAACCCAACGATGAATCGGACTGAGTTTGTGCAGACTTTTAAGAAATTCATTTTTAATGAAATTATCATGTTATACTTTTTTGCTAAACTTTCTTCTGCACATCATTTGTATCACTTTCCAGGATGCAACTGCCAACGATATCCCAAGTGAAACCTTTGATGTGCAAGGTTATCCAACCGTGTACTTTAGGTCAGCAAGTGGAAAGATATCACAATACGATGGCGGTAGGACCAAGGAAGATATCATAGAATTCATTGAAAAGAACCGGGATAAACCTGCTCAGGAAGAACAAGGAAAAGATGAGCTTTGAAAAGGTAACTGTCTGCATATCATTAGTTGCACAATCTCATTTTAATGCTACATAAGAAAAACTTCCAAATCTTCTCATTCATATTTTGATTTAGTCTCAACTTTGCAGGAAAGGAGCAGTTCCTCTCTGAGGGGATATAGACACACTGTTACATGTCGGGTCTACATCTCTTTGTATCCCAGAATCAATAGTTAGTTAATCTTAGTGCTAATCTATCTTCCGTTGCTTACCTTTTATCTGTTTGTTTTCCTCTTAATGTATGTTTTACTGAATAAATGGGAGTTTTGTTTGGCGGAATATAGATTTTAATACTGGAAAAGTTGTGGCTGTAAAATACCTCGGATCCTGAGTTATAGATGGTTTTATATCACCAATATAGTTTCCAGTATTTCTCCCACGAGGTTGTTTCGGTACCTCTTTGAATATGAAATAATCTCTAAACCAGCATAATAATATCTAACAGTTGGGGTAAGCATATCAATCATACAGAAGAAGATAGTGCACAAATCTAATGTTGAATATGAACAAACAGTATGCATAGGCAATACAGGAATGGATGGTAAACTTTGAAAATAATGACAGCCTTCTATACGCAACGCGAGAATTGACGTTGAGGGAAAGCAAGAAATTGTTGCATCCACCATGTTTGGTATGCTTGTCTTTTTCGATCTTAGCTATGCAAATTATCTTGACCGCGTGTTACATTAAAAACAATGTCGACCAAACGTGTTTGAATGTTAAAATCAAATTGTTTGTTAATGGGTATTGCTTGAACCGTTTGCTGGCTGAAGGTACAATTTTGGGATACACAGCTAGCGGTAACCAACACAACGACAAAAGGTAACCAATAACCCTTCCATTGATCTTTCGTTGCCAAATCCAACTAATAACGTGAAAGTACCTGCACATTGCAAACCAGCGGCATAAGAACTCATTTGTCACATTTTTTCATCATAATTATCGAAATATCACGCTCCAGTGGTTTTTTTTTTTTTTTTTTCCCCCGCTCGTGTCCAATCCATGACCTGTTATAAGAAAAAACGTGTCTTGAACTGATAGAGCTAAAAGGTCCATGACCTGTCAACGGGACCCGCGGATCCTTTGCATAATTAAAAAAATAAAAAATAATAGTCTCCCACTTCTCTCCATATTTGGGGTGTAATGTTACTCACCGGAGTAGATGCCTAGAATTATGTTGCATCGAGATCGACACGGGTACGGAATATGACATGATACGATACTCTGATATGTTAATTTTAAAAAATATTAAATTTTAATACGTTAGAACACGTTTTGATATTATAAAATATTTTTAATTTATATAGTGTATATTATATTTAGTATTCAATAATTTAATAAAAAAAATAAAGTTAAACTTATAATACCCATCAAGTTTGCAAAGAGATATAATATATCCCAAATGTTTATATTAAACTCAATAAAATTGTAATCGTAATTTAACGAATCTAATAGTTGAAACTCAAAATGCAACGCAACGTAACCTTTAATTTTTCTTTGAGTATTTGCAATGAGTATTGAAGTGTCGAAAAGTGTCGGTTAGTGTCGAAAAATTAAACACGACACATCAAAATTTTTGAAGTATGAATACTTCATAACTCAGAACTCCTCGCATATCATAATCCCCGTGCTCTTAAATTGTTGATAAGTATCATTTTATTGAGGGGTTTTAGTTTGTCCTTTAACATGATACGAAAATTTTTTCTACACACACAACATTTTGTGGAGCCCACATTTTTTAAAGCAAAAGAAAAAAAAAAATTAAGACATGCAAAAAAAACCTCTATAACATTACACAATCATTTTTCCTACGATATAACTCTTATAAAACCCTTTTATTGAATGCTAAATTAACACAGCGAATTCCAACAAAATATGCTCTTCTTTTTAAGATTTGATAAGACTAGTGAGCAACATTTTGTCCTATAAATAGTGGCGGAGTCACCTTAAAACCTGCAAGCAAGTGCCTCAGCATTAGTTTTCAAAAATAGTTGATTTCTTATTTATAAAAAGGTTATATTTATTTTATTTTATATGAAATAATTAAATTTCTTACACACACAAAATGAATGAGTCTCCCTTCTTTTTGTCTCTCTTATCTTACTTATGGATCTTACTTGCAATTTTATTTTTATAATATAAGATAATTATTTTCTTAGAATATAAAAAAATTATTTCCCTTTATAAAATTATAAAAATAACAGCTCTTTCAATGACTTCCTCCATAGCTGGCATTCACTAATTTTTTTTCAAAGGATTAAACTTTTGTCGGGCTCCGCCACTACGTATAGCGTCAATCACTAATCAATTCACTGGTTACTTTGGTGTTAGATTTAAGGTTGCTTCGGTGTTAGATTCGATTCCCTGAAAGTTGAGTCTGCGCTGCAACCTATGTCTCTTAGTTTAGTAATTCAGTTTGCTATTCCAAATTAGCATCCTCTATTGTTAACAGATATCATTTAATAATTTCGGATGAAGCAATTTTTTAAGCAATACATGTGATTTTAAAAAATAAAAAATATATTAATTATTATTAAAATTATAATATTATATTTAATATTTTTATAAAATAAAAAGTAATAAAATATATTTTTGATATTTAAAAAAAGACATTTTAAATAAATATAACTATATATTTTTTAATGAAGATCATCTAAACCTTATTAAATGTGTACAACAATTTTAATTGACAAATATGATGAATCAAAAAAAATTCAGCACCTTAATATTTCAATAGATATTTAAGGTAAATTTTTAATTATATATTATTCGTCAATTTACTTAATAAAATCATAAATGTTGCCCAAAAAAAATAGAATAAAATTTTAAATATTTATGATAAAAATAAGAATCAACAAATACTACAAAATGCACCTTTATCACTAACTTTTTGAATACCATACAACATTCAATGCAGTGTTTTAAAACTAAATCAAATATCAACCGATTAAATAACGAATGGAGAGAGAGAAAAGAGGGAGACGATTAATTTTATAAAAAATTGGGCAAACGACCAGCTGACCCTAGTGACTGGTCCTGAACTTGGACATGCCTTTAGCTTAAGAGGCACAGATATCGATACAGAATATGAGACATAACATTACACATCGATATGTTAATTTTAAAAAATGTTATATTTCGACACGTTGAGACACGTTTTGATATTAAATAAAAATTTTAATATATATAATATAATTTATATTTAATACATATAAGAGTCCATAATAAGTCATATAACTAATCAAATATTTAAATTTCATAACATAAATATAAACAAAAATAATTTTCGGTATTTTGTTAATTTTTCATGTCAAATTTCATAACGGAAAAAAATTAATTTATAATTTTTTTTATATTAAATTAATAAAATAAAATTAAGAATAAAAAAGAAAAAAAATGTCGGAGCTTTGATCGTATGTCAAAAAAAGTTGACTGCGTGTCGAAGAATTAACCGAGTATCCTAAAATATTAGCCACATATCAAACACGTGTCAAAACGTGTCAGAGTATGCCCATACAAATTTTTTAAAAAAAGTCGTGTCCGTGCTTCTGAACCTTTGGCGCTGGACATATAACAAAAAAGACCTATTTTTGCTGATAGCGTTTCATAAAACGTGACATTTCAATAATTAAGATGAAAAAACGTAAATGGATCGTTGTCCTGCAAACCAACTGCTAGCTCAACGAAAGTTTTGATTACTTTGGGAGCACATTTCTAGGGAAAGGAAAATTTTGCACAATTTTCGTAAATACCATTAGTCGGCAGTTGTGTACAAATCCATATACCACTTAAAAATAATTATTAAAATTTTAATAGAAAGAATTTTGCAGTCCTCATTATTTTACTTAATTTCGATCTGGATTCTCTTATGTGAAAAATTATATGATTATGTTATGTAAGAAATTATAATCATGCAAAAGTGGATCAATGATAATAAAAGAGAAAAAAAAATGTTAAAATAAGTAGTTATAAAATTATAACCATTAATTTACCTTTGTATAATTGTAATCTTTTAACGTGATGATAATGACGATATCATTTTTTGTTATATGAGCCTGATTTAATTGGAGCAGCTGAATAACCGGTGTAGCAGGTGGTGTTTATATAATTCATCATTTTTTATTTAAATTTTAATACTTTTATTTTAGAATGTTTTATTTTTTTTTGCTATGACACGTGTTGTTTTATTTTAATTTCAAATTCTCTTTTATTATTTTCAATTCTAAACATTTACTTTTCCTTTAATATATATATTTTTAATTCTAGCTGAATTTTAAAAATTCGGCATTCATAAGTATTTTGATGATAATAAGTAAACGAATCATGTGTTAAAAAAAAAATAAAAAAAAGTAAACGAATCAAAGTAAACGAAATGAAGTATTGAAAATTTGTCCGTCGATTGCCACATACGTTCTGCACATTTGAATTTAGAATTCCCCCCGCTAGCATCTTAGTTATTAGCCACCACATGTATTAGTATCATATTCAAGAATACTTTTCATGATAAAAGGCATTGCTCATAATATAATATTTTAGTACGAAAATAGTATACCTCAAAACATAAGTATTTGCTAGCCATTAAAAAGAGGAAACTCGAATATCAAGAAATTAATAATAGAAAGTTTATTCTATCATAAATAAGATATTTTGAAAGTAAAGTTTATTTAAATTATTAATCGATGAAGAGAACATGCACACGCTTTGGTATTGCGATTTGCTGTTGTTTATCAGTCTTAATTACTTTCTACACCATTTAGTTGAAGCTTCCCCCTCTTCCAGTCAAAAATAGGAAAAATTCTTCAATACCTCACTTTAAAAAATTTATTGTGACATGACTTCATGTTGAGAAAGTAATTTCGGTATTCCAAAAAAGAAAGAAAGTAATATCGAATATATTCCAATGCTTTTAATCACATATAATGGGTGCCTGTATTCCCCACCCCCTAAGCCAATCCTGTGAGGTTAGATTCCCAAAAGTATGTCACCCAAAAAAAAAAAAGGTTTGATCGAGTTGGTATGTGGGGAAGTAAAAATAGGTTGAGATGGAAATGTTTGTTCTTATTTTTAATTTTTTTTTTTTGAGATATTTCAATTTGTTCTTCGCTTCGTAACTAATCCGATTCGGGAAAAGTCCCACAATTAAAGTTTTAAACCTCTTTCAAAAATGATACCGTGAAGGATCGAACACATGCTCTTACCTACACCTGCTCAATTTCCTAGCACCAACTGAACTACCATCATTTGGTCTTATTTTCACTTTTTTTTTTTTGGTAAACAAATGAGCTCGTAGAGAATGTCTATTTTTTTGGATACATTTAAAGAAATGAACACACAACCTATTATATAACTATCAATATCCCAT